AACCCCAGGGCACCATCCTCAGCATCTCCTGCATCTCCTAGTCTCTGCTTATTTGACCCCCAGGGCACCATCCTCAGCATCTCCTGCATCTCCTAGTCTCTGCTTATTTGACCCCCAGGGCACCATCCTCAGCATCTCCTGCATCCACCAGTCTCTTCTTCCTTTGACCCCCAAGAGCCTCCATTGTGCACATCAATGATCTGCTGCTACCTCATTTAGGAATTACACTAATTGTTGCTGTAGCTTCCAGGCTGCTCCCTGTCCCTTTAACTGAAGTTGGTTTTTCATGTACTGTGCTCTTAGAAGCATGAAGGGAAGTGAGGGATATTCTTGGGATACCCTCCTGTTTGTGTGACCCCTCACTCTCTGTGGCCCTCTTCCAGACTGTCTGAATCCTGGTCCTGCACCCCAGGACCTGATGCCTGCTCTGGGATGCGCCTTGGTCTGCACCCCAGGACCTGATGCCTGCTCTGGGATGCGCCTTGGTCTGCACCCCAGGACCTGATACCTGCTCTGGGATGTGCCTTGGTCTGGGATCCTTCAGATTCGTCTTTTTTTTTTTAATTATTATTATAGCTCTGCTTTCTCCTTGATTTAGCATCTTCTGGCGAGACAGGTAATGACAGTCCCTCAGACAAACCACATCATTTGAGCCCTCAGAGGGTTAGTGGGCACCTGTGACCTTTCGTCCAGTTCCTGCCTGAGAAGGGACAATAAGATCTCTGATCCTGGCTTCTAGGGCCATTCTCCTCATTCTGGTGCCTGACTGATTGCTCTTAAATACAAATAAGATATTATTGCAACCATGTTTAAAACTCTTCAATGGCTCCATCCAAGCCAACGTGTCTGTCTTTCAGTGACCTGGCGCTTGCCTGGCCCTCTAGCTCATCACTCAGCCTGCCTCTTTGGCAATGAGCGGCAAACTCTTCCCAAGAACACTAGCTCCTGAGTCAGACACCTGTCTCAGACTTGAACACATGAATTGATGAGACAAATTCAGAAAGAGCCATATGGAATATGCTCCCTGTGACCTTGTTTACGACAGCAGAAAACTAGTTTTAGAAAGTGCAATTAGGGAGGGGATGCAACCAGATGGCTTGCCTAGCTGTCATGTGTGAGGCAGCCATTCAGCCACCAGCACTGCATCCAACAAGCTCGCGACAGTTTGGTATATAAGAACATATTAACGATGTTGATCTAGATGCATTCACACGGAGGACAAGTGCCCATCGTTTACTGTTGAGCGAGAAAGGAGGTTACAGGATGCATAGCCTGGCCCCGATATATACTGTTCTATACTAAGTCACACTGAATAGTCCTAATAGGGTTTTCCAGCATTGGGTATGTGAGGAGCTTGGTTTCTCTCTTGTGCCTTTCCTTATTTTACAAACTCTCTGAAGCAGGGAGTTATGTTTCTCACCAGGAGAAGTACTCATGACATCATTTCTGCTATAGAAAGGAAGACAGCGTGTCTTCTGAGAAGCTGTGCTAAGGACTGAGGACAGATATGAAGAGTGCTTACCGCTGTCACACTTCACTCCTCGCCAGCCGACATCACAGTCACAGGTGCCGTCTCCAGAGGGACCTTGGTTACATCTCCCATGGACACAAGAGCATGCTAGGCAGAAAAACATTTGCAAATGACCAGATTCTGACTCATGTTCAACATTTCCTTTACCACTTACTGGGTGTAGTTCTCTGCATCCCAGTCTCTGACCAGGGTCTTTCCTGTGGGATTGGAGTCACAGGACATAGGAATACAGGTTACCAGGTGAAAGGGTCCTATTTCAACAAAACAGCTCAGGCTACAGTTCTGAGACTATGTGGCCCTGCGGGAATGTGGCTCAGATAAGGTCATTTGAGGATCCAGGATCATATGAGACTCTAAGAGCAGTGTTCGAAAGATACTCATCTGGCTGGGCACGGCTCAGGGAGCACTGTGGAAAAGAGAGAGGAGAGACCATAAAGCTGGAGGATGGTGGGAGTGCTGGGAAGTGCTGTCTCTAGATTTGATGTGGCTGTTTACACCTATGAACTCAAATCAGCACTGCTGCCAGCCCAAGACCTGCTTGACACGCTGCTCATCAACATTCCATGGATGGGGGGGGGGGAGTTCATAAAGCCCCGCCCCTCCCAAGGCAGCTATAAGCAGTTAAAGGTTGTGGGGGGGAGGGGGAACCATCTTCTTCAGCAGTGTAGCCACTGGCACCTTACCCTTGCTTTGGTAAACAACCACAGACTCATGCACTCCGCCCTAATTAAAGGCAGTAGTTCACAGAGATAAGAGAATAGGAGGTGGACTTGGGAAGCGGAGGGGGAAGCAGATGAAGTTCAGGTAAACGAGTAAGTGAGTCATTAGGTCAGATATGATTTTCCCTCAGTGGCTTCTGAGCAACTTGGACAATGAACGTTTAATCACGGTGATCAGCACACACAGGAGAGTGAGAGACAGAGTGGGCTGTCAGCGAAGAAACTGGGAGTGGGTGGGTGGATCCAGGTCAAAGACTGAAATGTTTTGGAACACTGCTCCATACAAGGAAAATAACATAGGCTTAAAACAAACAAATAAAAATAAACCAGCGATTCTCTCTGTAGTCCAGGCTGGTCTCAGACTCAGGGAAGCCTTACAGCCTCAGCCTCCTAAACACTGGGGATACTCAACTGGCTCACAGAGAGGCTCATACTTTTCATTAACAATGGTGGGTGGATTCCTGCTGCCTGGGCAGAGGCTGGGTAGAGAGCACAGTAACTAATGATCACAGGCCCCTGGCTAGCTTGGGTCTGGGAGGACTGAGGGGACCAGGGTCTGGGCAGAAGCGATGCTCACCTTGGTCGCAGTGCACACCATACTTCCCCTCTGTGCAGGTCTCACAGGCTGTCCCACTGAAGCCCTGCCCGCACTCACATGTACCAGTGCCATTCATGCCGTCCAGACAGAAGCCATTCCCAGAGCACACATTCTGACCTTTCCCAGGGCAGGGTTGGCACTGTGGGCCAAAGAAGCCAGCACAGCATGCTCTTGTCTGAAACAAGACAGAGTGTGGGGTTCATGTTCATCTTCTCCTTTGGGGACTCCTGAGACTCCTGTGTGAGCCTGCCTGTTTCTAAGGAACAGAGGACAGAACCCTCTGAGGACTGAGTGAAACTCAGCAATTTCCCAGGTCACTAGCCAGCCCTGCAGCCAGCCAAGAGAGAAAATCAAGACAAGAAATGAATACCAAGTAGAGGAGGCAGGAGGAATGCAGCAGAGGAAGCCGGGCTGCTGAGCGCATGCCTGTGATCCTAGTACTTGGCAGACTGGCCAGTGTGAGGGCAGCCTGGGCCAGCTTGATAAACTTTATTATGATCATTATTGTAGTTCTTGTTTTTATTGTTGTCATTGTTACTGTTGTAACAAGGGCTCATTTAGCTCATGCTGGCCTTGAACATCTGATCATCTTCTACTTCCTGAGCATTGTGCTATAGGCTGGTGCTCCTGACAACTTCAAGCAACAAGGGATAGCACAGATGATGCTGGAGGAGTGGGAGGACCAACAGGCCTCCAGCACCCCCAAAACGGGGACCCTCCTCCTTGGATGTTGTTCCATCTCTGGGAGGAGTAGATGCTTGGTCATTTTATGGTAACTTCTGAAGTTCAGGGAAGCCCCTAGAAAGTTTGTTTGGCTTTGTCTGGCCTTATTCTTCCTTTTTCTTTTTAAAAAAGATTTATTTATTTATTTATTTATTTATTTATTTATTTATTTATTTATTTATTTATTATACTGCATTCTGCCTGCATGTATGCCTGAGGGCCAGAAGAGGGCACCAGATCTCATTACAGATGGTTATGAGCCACCATGTGGTTGCTGGGAATTGAACTCAGGACCTTTGGAAGAGCAGAAAGTGCTCTTAACTTCTGAGCCATCTCTCCAGCACCCTTGACTTTATTCTTAAGTTCATTAAAACATAAAACTCTCTCCAGTCCCAAGCTCTGCAGTTCCAACTCCTTGGAAGAAGAAATGTCATCCTCTGGAGAAGAAGCAGGACAGTAAGTTATAAGGAAATTTCCAGAAATTTCCAAAGTGACGTTCAGAGATCCTGGATATTGTTGTTTCGTTTTCTGAATGAGCAAGTGTCCCTTGCCTTCCCTTGGTGAGCACTTCCTTAGTATCTTGTCTACATATTAACTAAGTAATATGGTTAAGTTAATCACCCACGCATGCCTGTGTTGTAGGAACAGGGGTCCCCTCTTCACCTTCCACAGCCTCAGTCTGTTCCTCACTCAGTCCAGCACGTTGGTTCTTACCCATTTTCTGATTTACAGGCTTTCCTGCATTTTCCTGTAACCAGTACTACTTTGGACAGTAACAATGATGATGCGGGGCAGATGTCGGGGAGAACACACTGCCACAGCCTCCTGAGAGGCTACTGTGCAGCTGACTACCCACATGCCTTCAGACTTGGGATGGCTAGCCCATACTCACAATGATGGTTCTCACACACTGTGGCTGGCATCCAATGAATACAGATCTCTTCCCCATGAAGTAAATGGAATAGATGCATTTCCTCGGCTCGCTCTGTTAAGGCATAAAGATTGTATCATCTCTTTAGTTAGGAAGGGAGTTTCCCAGCTTCTGTCAGTGAGGAACTATGTGACACTTTTTTTCTCTAACATATTCTGGAAAGGGAGGGGTGTGGCTTCTTGGTGCTACTCCATAAGGAAGAACGCAAGCGAAACTTCACAGTTCTGCAGGCCCTGCAGAAAACCCAAAGGTACACTAGAAAGTAGTGTTCTCTAAGCAGGACGTTTCTCTAGAAGACTAAATCAATTCTAAAAGAATCAAAAAATAAAGCAGATAGAAATATCATTCCAGCACTGTATATTCATTAAACTTAAGCTTTATTTATTGATTCATAGTCTCCCAAATCTGAGAATTATTCACTCATAAAAATTTATACTATACAACATCAAATAAAACTCACAACCCAAGAGAGATTCCATATTCACTGTTTATCACGGGTTATTATCACTATGCTATGGAAATGCACAATGCTTATTCTTTGTAATGGTCATTAACAGAAGTAGCTTTTGTATAAAAACAAGCTATAAGAAACAGATTGGTAATTAATTTAAGATGTGTCTATATCTGATTCTTTGAGAAGGTCAGTTGTGACTTCAACTATAAAAGGAAACCAGGCAGGTGGAGCATTTCTGGCTGGCTACGTCGTGGGTCCTGGGGACTGTCTCCTATGATACAAGATTTTGCTGTTGTCCTTAACTGGCTAGACTAAAAGATGCAGAAGGTGAAAAATACTTTTGTGGATTGCATGTTGGCTTCTGGGCCCATTTCTATTTTCATTATTAATTGTTTTATTTAATACATATTAACATTTTAATATCATTAATATCAATTATTGACATTAATTATAATTATGTATCAATTACATAACAAATGCATTGACTATAAATTAATCAACAATATAATCAATAATGCATATTATTAATAATAGTCAATAGTTCAATTATTAATTATTATTTCTATTTTAATTAATAATCTAAATTAGTTAGATGAATTTTTAATCTAACTTAATCATTAAAATTGCCCTTAGTCCCTCAAAGACTGCACTTAAGGCTATGAAGATGCATACCAACAAGGAGAAGGGCCAGCAAAATGTTTTCTCTGGACACAGCCGCTGCAATCGTAAACTTACAGTACTGGTGTTTGCTTGACAAGGCTGGGCCTGTCAACAGTCAGTCAAGGATAGGGGAGGAGCCTATGGGGCCCTACCCCTCCCGAGGAACCGACTGGACTGATGGGGTAGGGAGTCATTGTCTTCAGTTGTGTCTCTCTTGCTGATCCTACCAGGCTCTGAATAGTGCCACATCCATGGACCACATTAACATCCCTGGTTAAACTCAGTGGGACACAAAGCAAAAGACATGAGTGGGGGAAGGGACTTCTGTGTGTGTGGTGACATGGGTGGGAGGGAGTTTAATTAGATTTTTAAAAATATATGCATGGAACTGCCAGAGAATAAATTTCATTGACAAAAAAGAAAGTGAAGTTTAAAATAAACTAAAAAGGAAGTATGCAGAGTGCAGGCATCCCCCCCACCCCCCCGCCGCAACCGCTGGGCTTGCTTCTTGACCGTGGATGTGAGGCCTGGCGGCCTTAAACTCCTGCACACTGTCACACTGTCCACAAATATAGAATTAAATGGAGGGAAGGCAGGAGGGCAGAAGAAAATGCTTTCCAATTTGGATTCTCTTACCTAGATGCTGGTTTTGTTTTTTTAAAACCTATCAGGTAAGTACTTACAAATGGTTTTGTCTCGAGTGGGCAGAATGCTGGCTGGTGACACTTTCCACATTTACCCTTGGTAAAAAGTGTAGAGACAGAGAAGACATGTCAAAGTTAGTAATTTCAGTGCAAAACGAGGCCGCAAACGCGAGCTCAGAGATACAGGTTTTAGAGAGCGGGGCTGAAAAGCAGGGTCACACCCCCTTAAGATTCTCTGAGCCACACTCTTTACTCCAGTCTTACATATCTGAACACTGCTTTCTCCCACAGTTGTCCTCAGAATCTAATACTGTTGAAGAACATGGAAGGCATCACTCATTTAAATACGAATTCTTTAGCACTAATTCACTGATGCACCGGAACCCTTGTTCAAGTGAATTGGGTCAGAGACAGACACACACGGTGTCTGTCTTCACAAGACACGGTGCGGCTGAGGGCTGTAGTTCCAGGACACTCCACTGAAATAACACACAGAAAGAACAGCAGAAGCTTCTAAGTATTATCTTCTAGGTTAGGAGAAGGTCTGGCTATCGTCGGGACCTACTTGACAGTATAGGGCCACTGTCGTGAACTCTGTTTCTAGGGCCAGACTGCCCAGATTTGAGTCCTTTCTCTACCAGCTGCTACTGGGTGAATAAACTTCTTTGTGGCTCATTTTCTCATCTGTAAATTGGGTAGAGTCAAAGTCCTTTCTTTTTAGGGTATTGTGAGGATCATATGAGCTAATCCATGTAACTGTTTCGAGTGATGCTATGTGGGTATCAAGTACCTAATACATATCAGCAGTATTATTATTATTAAAAGGTACCGCAACTGTCCCACAGCCTGCAGTGACGAGCTTGCACTACTGCATGGGTATCACACTGAGTTCACTGATTCTATACACCTCTTCTGGCTGACCAGCCTTAACCTATCACGGGTGAACTACGGACCTCTTGCTGGTATGGTCTCCCTTTACAAGGGAGCCAGGGCCTCAGAATCCTGCTCACCATGGTCATCTATCTAATCTTCCCCAGGCATGCTAGGTACAAGCCATCCCATTAGATGATGAGCCTGTTGACCCCAGGATGTGTTTGGCTCCCCTCTGTGATCTACAGCCTTGTCTTCTCTTTGGTACATTGGAGATGCTCAGTATGTAGTCTCTTTCTCACTGCACAGGATTGAATCTAAAGCCTCATGTATACTAACCGAATGCTGTCCTTCTGAGCCACAACTCCAGTCACAACAAATGAGAAAATTTTGAACTAAACTGAGATAGTCTAATAGAAAAATGATTAAATTTAAAATTATTATGGTTATTTAAACATTTTAATTACATTTTGTGTGAACATGCAAGTACATGTGTATGTATGTGTTCTACGTCTATATGACTGTATATGTGTGGAAGACAACTTGCAGAATTCACTTCTATCTTTCTACTGCCTGGGTCTTGAGGATTGAATTCAGCTTGCCAGATTTTATGGCAAGCATCTTTACCTCTGATCCCATGTTTAAAATTAAAAAAAAAAAGTGTGTGTGTGTGTGTGTGTGTGTGTGTGTATCTGGAGAGATGGCTCAGCTATTAAGAGCACTGGCTGCTCTTCCAGAGGACCTGAGTTCAATTCCCAGTACCCACATGACAGCTCACAACTGTCTGTAACTCCAGTTCCTGGGGGTCAGACACGTTCACACAGGCATACATGCAGTTAAAATAGAAATGTACATAAAAATAAAAATCCACCCCCATTATCCTCATCACTGGCCCTGATGTAACTTACTCTCACAATAGTGGTGTCATTATTGTCACATCTATTCTTCTGAATTTCCAGAACTTTCTCCAGACCATGGATCACTCCTTTGTCAGTGGCCACATTGGTGTAGTTTATTGGAACTTCATTGGCATACAGCTGTGAGCAAGAGAATCAGATAGGGTTTTATTATGGTTCTATTAGAGAAGATGCAGAAGACGGGAAATGGAGGCCCCAGTATGACAACAGTCTAGGAGATAATCCAGTTTGGCTAGAAAGTAGGACAACGTAGTTGACAGAGCTCTGGCTTGGAAGAGAGGAGTCTGAATCATATCCTGAATCTGGTACGATGAAGCTCTGTGATACTGGGTCAATTGCTTGCCTGAACCTCGACATTTCTTTTTGTAAAAGGAAAGCATTCTGAATTTTTCTCTAGAGTATTATTTATCTCTGAAATTAATTGGTTTATGTTTGCTTAAAAATTACTTTCTAGGGGCTGGAGAGATGGCTCAGCAGTTAAGAGCACTGACTGCTCTTAACAGAGGTCCTGAGTTCAATTCCCAGCAACTACATGGGGGCTCACAAACATCTGTAATGGGATTGGAGCCCTCTTCTGGTGTGTCTGAAGACAGCTACAGTGTACTCATACACATTAAATAAGTAAGTAAGTAAGTAAGTAAGTAAGCAAATAAATAAATCTTTAAAAAAATTAGTTCTGTAAGGGCTGGAGAGGTGGCTCAGCAGTTAAGAACATTTTTCCAAAGGACCTGGGCTCAATTTCCAGCACCCACATGGCAGCTCACAACTTTGTAATTCCAGTTCCAGGGGATCTGCCACCTTCAAATAGACATACATGGAGACAGAACTCCAATGTACATAAAATAAAAAAATTACTGCAAGCTGGCTTTATGGACATACTCATTTGTGCTATGGTCTGGTGGTCCACAAGGCATGGATGTTTCCACTAGCTACGGAGGATGCTGTGCACCCTTCTAGTCTATCTCTACCTTGCAGCTTCCTTGCCAGCACCTCTAGACTGAATGACAGTGAGCACGGAGAGGGAGCTCACAATGTGTTAGTCTGTAATGAGGACTTAAAATTCATCAGACAACATCAAACACCATCGTCAATACTTCTTACTGTTGACATTGCTACTGAAGACCGTCATCCCTTGTGAGTGGCTGGCAGCGAAGGGGTCTTCGGTTTGGATGCTGGGGGAAGTGAGGACTGAGCTTTCGTCGCTGTCTCAAGGTCAATGGTTGTTGGGAACATCACAAGGAAAACTTGTTTAGTCTCAAATGGTGATTATAGCACAAGTTTCCAGAATTCCAAGATGTTGAGCTATTTTTGAGCACCCTGATAGCAGACTATTGGAAGCATTCCTACTTAATTTGGCATGTAAAGAGTCTGAATCATTCCCATCATGAGATACAGCTAGAGAATTACGGGTTGCATTGAAAATGTAATATAAACACACCTACTCAATTAGAAAGCATTCTCTCCCTACTTCCATTTCAACAAAGAAAGTGAAAGCAAAGCATCCATTGTCTTTATTTTTGCTCTAAATCAGGAAATTTCTGGGCTAATAGAGAATGAACCACAGTACTGAAAATAACTCAACTCACAGCATCTAAATATTCATTTCTACCTGATGAAACAAAGAAGATAACTATAAATATCAAGAAAAAGAAAGCTTTCTCTCAATAAGATAATTGCTATTCCTGGAAAAAATATTTAAAAGGAAATGTATTTAGCAAAATTCTGAACACTGATATGGAATCAGAGAAAAATGTTTGGGATTAAATTATTCTCCAAGTAATGAAGAAAATGTAAAGGATTCCTTAAAAAAAAAAGTCTCTAGCTAGATTTTTTTCTTTTACATAAAAGTTTTTTAAAGTTTACGTAAAAATTTACTTAGTGCAATGATAGCATCAATGAAGAAAAATTTAAAGGATCAAATTATTAATGCTTCTAAGATTACACAAATTCTCACCCCAATATTGTGTTCTTGTGTTCCTCAGCTGCCCTGTCCCCGTCTCTTCCTGGAGCAGGAGTTGAGAACTTTACATTACAACCCATAGGTAATAGTGATGGGAGGAGAGAGAGAGAGAGAGAGAGAGAGAGAGAGAGAGAGAG